AAAAAAAAAAAAAAAAAAAAAAAAAGAAGAAAGAAAATACAGGCCAGGTAAAGCAGCTCACACCAGTAATCCTAGCACTTTGAAAGGCAAAGGCAGAAGGATTACTTGAGGCCAGGAGTTTGAGACCAGTCTAAGCAAGAGTGAGACCATCTCTATAAAAAATAGAAAAATTAACCAGGCACAGTGGTACATGCCTCTAGTCCTGACTACATAGGAGGTTGAGGAAGGAGAATCATAAGCCCAGAAGTTTGAGGCTGCTGTCAGCTATGATGATGCCACTGCACTGTATGTAGCCCAGGGGAGAACATGAGGAAAAGAGGGGAGGGGAGGAGAAAAATCAAGACCACTGGGCAGTAATCTTCTAACTTTTGGGCTTCATTCCTGACAAATGTACCTCTATCTACAAGTTTCCTAATCTCCTCTCCCCCACCCCCATTTAAGGTTATACTTTGAAACCATTGATAAATTTCATCCTCTCCCACATCCTCTGGGACTTTTCTCCTATTATTTCTTTCCTTTTGTCCTTGAGGCTCAGTACATAAAATTCCTCCAATCTTTTCTTAGTTTTTATCTTTTTAAGAGATGGGATCTAGGCTCGGTGCCTGTAGCTCAGCAGCTAAGGCGCCAGCCATATACACCAGAGCTGGAGGGTTCAAACCCAAACGGGGCCTGCCAAACAACAATGACAACTACAACCAAAAAAATAGCCAAGCATTGTGGCAGGCACCTATACTCCCAGATACTTGGGACACTGAGGCAAGAGAATTGCTTAAGCGCAGAAGTTGGAGGTTGCTGTGAAATGTGATGCCACAGCACTCTATCCAGGGCGATAGCTTGAGACTCTGTCTTAAAAAACCCCAAACAAACAGGGCAGCACCTATGGCTCAGTGGGTAGGGTGCTGGCCCCATATACCGAGGGTGTTGGATTTGAACCCAGCCCCAGCCAAACTGCAACAAAAAGTAGGGCACCTGTAATCCCAACTACTCTGGAGGCGTAAGCCCAGGAGTTGGAGGTTGCTGTGAGATGTGATGCCATGGCACTCTACCCAGGGCGATAAAGTGAGACTCTGTCTCTAAAACAAAAAGAAAAAAAAAAAAAGGAAGGGCAGCACCTGTGGCTCAAAGGGGTAAGGTACTGGCCCCATATGCCAGAGGTGGTGGGTTCAGACCCAGCCCAGCCAAAAACTGCAAAAAAAATAAAAACCCAGACAAACAAACAAACAAAAAAAAGAGATGAGATCTAACTCTGTCACCCATAATGCAGTACAGGGGCACAATCACAGCTCAATACAGCCACAAACTAATGGGCTCCAACAGTTCTCCTGCTTCAGCCTCCTAGAACTACAGACACATACCACCAGGGCCCTTTAATTTTTCTTTATTTCTGTGGAGACAGGGTCTTGCAACGGTGCCCAGGCTGATCTTGAACTTCTGATCTCAAGTGATCCTCCTACCTGGGCCTCCCAAAGCACTGGCTCTTGCGCCCCTGAATTCTACAGCTTGAATTCTCATCATGACTCTACGTTTTAGTCCGATAGAGCAGGGCTCCCAGGTGTGCCATAATCTCTCATTTTATACTCACTTATGACCATGCTTAGCCAAGAAGATCTGTGAAGTTTTAATGGCTTCAGATACTTGTTCTCTCTTGGTTGTCAACTCTTCTGCTAGAACCTATGTAGTACAAATAAAGAGAAAAAACTTCAAAACCCAAGAGTAAGAGTCAAAAATTATTATATTTGAAGTAAGTTTTTAAAAAGTCCTACGAAAAAATGGAAGCTTGGATGAAATTATTGTTACCATGAGCTACAGCTGATTAAAAAGATGAAAGTATAAATAAGACGACTTTTAAAGTTTCCCTAAGTCCTAAGAGTTAGCATTTACTCCAGAAATAATCACTTCTGGAATGGCCCATATGTGACTTATGTTATTCCACTTAATGTATTAGCATATATTATTCTGCCCAGGTAGACAGAGATGGACCTTCTACTCACCTGCTGTTCCAAAATAGCTTTTTCAATGTCTGTTGATTCTTTGGTCTGGGATGAGGTAGATTTTCCTTGTGTATTCCTTGCTAAAGTAGACACCCAGCCCAACAGTTCTTTAACCTTCTCCACATGTTCCTGTTTTTCCTCTTCTACTACTTTCTACAATAGAAAATAGGAAATCAGCATCCTGGCAAAATGTTAGTTATCTGATTGGTAAGACTTCAGATTTCTTCAAACAGAGATATGAAAATTACCTAAATACATAGGTAGTGAAAATAACCTCAAGTTAAATATAATTTACCCAGCCTACACCAATGTTCACGGGGGTCTTTCTGATAATAACAGCTATATTTGTTATACCTACATTTAACACCTTTAAAAAAAAGAAAGCACTATTTTCTACATGATAGGCACACAATAGTTATTTGATGATTTTTTAAAAGCCCTTTTATATAGCATCTTATTCATTTTCATAATTCATAGGTTTATAGGTGAGGGGACTGATGCTCCAGAGATTATACCAGGTAGGCACTGACATAAAGGAAGACATGCTAATTTACATCAGCAAAAGATGGTATGGATAAAGTTTTCAACAGCTTTTCTAAGAGTGATTGACTATGTGGGAACTTATTTTGCAAAGACAGAAGTTATTTATACTTAAAAGATGATATATTCATTACCACAAATTAAAGCAAACCTGAAATATATAATATATGTGGCTTAATTTTACTTCTCCAGAAATTTGGTGATATATTTATAAACTTATTTCTATGTCATATTGTATCTTTACAGTATACAGTTTAACTGAAATTCTCATTACAGTCATAACTTTCCCCCCCAAACCTTACATATTTATAATCTTTCCATGTCAATTCACTTAAATCTATTTCATTACATTCAATAGCTTGTTAGCATTCTACTACAAGGAATATAAAGTTTTCAATCTTTGTTCACATCCTTGTTTTTTTAATCTTCTTTAATTAATTATTTTTGAGAGACAAGATCTCACTCTGTCACCCAGGCTGGAGTGCAGTGGTACCAGCCATCATAGCTCACTGCACATTGAACTCCTAGCTTCACTCCTAGGCTCCCACCTCAGCTTCCCACAGTGCTGAGATTATAGGTGTGAGACACCATGCCCGGCCCATATCCTCTTCTTCTTGTACTTACATAGGGTACCTAAGTAAGATACTTGGAGGTGGAAGTGCTGGATATCATACAGTCGGTCCTTATTATTCACAGATTCTGTATTTGTGAATTCCACCTGCTAACTAAAATTCATTTGTAACCCCAGTGAGCTGCTTTGTGCTCATTCCCAACCTTGCACAGAACAGTAAAATTTTTAGTTGCCTGGTGTACGTGTTACCAACTGAGGTAGAACAAAGCGACACTCTGCCTTCTTTTTTCCGCTCTCACGTTGTTAACAAGTGTCCTTTTCACAGTCTACTTAGGGCATAGTTTTCACATTTTCATGATTTTTGTTGATTTATAACATGATTTCACTGTTTGAAATGGCTTCCAGTAGTGTGAAGGTGCTGTCTAGTGCTCCTAAGCACAGAAAGGCTGTGATGTGCCTCACTGGGAAGTGACGTGTGTGAGATAAACTTCATTCAGACATGAGTTTACATGCCAACTACCATGAGTTCAATGTCAGTGAGTCCAATTATATATGGTAAACTGTCTTTAACCAGAAACCACATAAAACAAGGTTGTACACTGATCTACCGACAAAGGTGTTATGACCAGAGGCTTAAAGGAACCAAATCTTCTATTTCCCTTAGGAGCAATGGTTCAGTATCTGCCAATGCAGCAACTTTATAGAACATAACTATTGCAAATAATCAGGGCTTTGTATATATTTCAAATTTTGATAAATGAGGCACAGGATTTAAAAAATAATTTTTTTAGACATGGCATCTCATTACATTGCCCAGGCTAGTATCAAACTCTAAGGCTCAAGTGATTCTTGCCGCTCAGCCTCCTAAGTAGTGGGGACTACAAGCATGGGGCACTGCACCAGGCTAAGAATTTTACACTTTCAACTAAAATCCAGAACCTAATCATCCTCACCTCTTCCTCCTCCAGCCGACGGAGTGCATCACTGATGTATTTCACATGCTGAGTTGTTAAGGTCACCAGTGCTGTGTAACGAGTCCGTAAGTCCATGAACTACAGTTCAAAAAAAGAATTCAGATAAATTATCTGTCAGAAAACTAAATGTAAATAGTTGAAAATAAGGGGAAATTCTCATGGAGTTTCATGCTCAACAGAAAAGTGAGCCCCACAACAAACTGAGGCCAGACAAACGAATCTTTCCTTAAGGAAAGACAGCGGTGCATTTTCTTCCCCACCCTTTCACCTCTTGCGTGATGGCATCTGAAGAGGAAAGCATGCGACGGCGCTTGCCAGGGGACTTCTGTTGTGATTCCACAAAGGCCTTGTATGTCATCAGTTGTAATTCGTAGTCCTAGGAAAGGAAGAAATTTCTCTATATTTACTTAGGGCTTTATTGCTCACACACACCATGCAATAGAATTATAGCATTTTGGTGACTGTTCAGGCAAGAGGTTAGGAAACATTTCCCGTAAAAGGTCACGTACAATATATCTGCCCGTACTATTTCTGTCACTGTAGGCAAAAGCAGCTGACATTATTCTTTTTATATTCTTTTCGCAACCATTTCTCATGGGCCATATAAAAACAGGTGTGGGGGCTAGATCATAGTTTGCTGACTCCTGAGTTACAGTTTGTTGTTTACTCAGCAATTTTTTCATCTCATATGTGAAATAACTAGAGCCCAGAGAGGGGACATGAATTTTCCTAATTAACTCAGGGAATGTGTACCAGTCAATGCTCTTATTTCACTGTGCTATTCTGCTGCCTCCCCATGACCCTGAGAGTGCTGCCCAAGGGCAGGCCCTCTGCATCCCTCACATGGACAGGTGCAGTAGCCTCTTATGTACTCTCACCGCCTCTAGTCTCACTTCCAATTATCCTCTGTCATGCCACTAGAATAATTTTTCTAAAACCCAAAGATGACTATATTGTTATTCTACTTAAAAAGCTTTCAACGACCTAGAGCAGAGCTTTTCAAACACCAAAATGCATGCAAATCATCTGGGGGCCTTATAAACGTAGCATCTGATTCAGTAGGTCTGAGATTCTGTATTTCTGACAAGCTTCCAGGTGATGCTGATGCTACAAAGACAACATTTGAGGAACGAGAATAAAAGAGAAAGCCAAAAAAGCTCAACAAGGCCTTTTATGGGTTGGTCCCAACCTCCCTGCTCATTTTCCGTAGTCACTACTCCTTGTGTACCTTCCAGCTACACCAGGATACTTGCTATGTCCTCATGTTATCGTGTATTTTAATTCTTCTGTGCCTTAGATTACGCAGTTCCTTTGCCTAGCACATTCTGCTTCTGTTGTCTACTTAGGAAACTGAGCAAAAGGAAAACATGAAATTCCAAGTTCCTGAAGGAACCCATTAAAAAAAAAAGTAACATTAATAGCAAAATCATAATAACTATTGAAATTTTTCCTTGCAGTGGAGGCGTAGTCCTATGTATATGGCATTTAATCTTTACAATTATTCAGTTAGGTAATTAATGTTTCCATTTTACAAGATAGCAACAAAAACTTCAGCTAAGCACTTGTTCAAAGTCTCAAGTTGAACCTCAAGTCTCAACGTGAAGTTGGGATTTAAACTCAATTCTTTCTTACATCAAATCTTTTGTTGTTAACTAAAGAAATGTATTTATTCAAAAATATTTGTTGAGCAATCTACTATATACCAGTGACTGTTTTAAGTTGTATTCAGATGGGGGGGGACACAAGTCAGAAAAAACCTCACTCCTCTGGAATTTACATTCTAGTGGCAAGTCACAGACTAAACAAACAAATATATAATCATCTCAAGTAATTTTCCTTTAAAGATGTTTTAAGAGAAACAGGAAAGGGGGGGGGGCGGTGCCTTTGGCTCAAAGGAGTAGGGCACCAGCCCCATATGCCAGAGGTGGTGGGTTCAAACCCGGTCCCAGCCAAAAACTGCGGGGGGGGGGGGAAGAAATATTAAAGGGATAGATCATATATGCCTCATAAACCATATAGAATTTAAAATTTTATTAAGGCTATGATATGAAGTTATTGGATAGGTTTGAGCAAGAGAGTGACATGATCTGATTTATCACTTTTTATTTATTATAAGGACTATCTTTTCCTCACATTTAAGTGTCTATAGAATTGGAATATATCTTACAACCAATGGTTTGTCACAGAATTGGCAGTTTCTTTCATTTTTCTTGGTATGTACAAAATTATAGTGTAGCTTATAATGAATGGATAATCAAGATTCAGGGACATACAGTTTATTCTAAAAAAGAGAGTCTGGCTATTGTGTGGGAAAACAGTCGGTGGGGGAAAGAATAGAAGCAAGAGACTAGCTGGGAGGTGTTATAGTAGTCTAAAGCCAATTTATCACACAGCTGTGAAGTTGAGAAACAGAGGAGAGATAATAGGAGGTAGTCAGACTTGGCACATATTGAAGACAGAGCCATCAGAGAATATAAGGATTAAAGTAAAGAGAAGAATGGATAATTCTTGGGGTTTTTTTGGTTTTACTGCCTCAGCAACTAAAAAAAATGGTGACACTATTTTCTGAGATAGGAAAGACAAGTGAGAAGCATATTTGAGAAGAAAACCCAAACATTCTGCTTTTGCTATTGTAAATTTAAGAGGCCTATCTATGGTCATCCAAACAGAGACTTTACCTTACAAATGCAAACAAACTAACCTCATATTAATCTGAAAAACAACAACAACAAAATAGAGACTCCTGTAATCACAGCATGGGGCCACAGAAGTACATATTTTGCTTAACTGCCAGCCTCTACCCTAAGAGCTCTGCTTAATTTGTCCAGAAACAGAACCAACAGAGATGATGCAGACTTTCCTAAGCTAGAGATGTTTTTTACTCTCTTTGGATGTGGCAAAATTACCTTTACAATAGTGGAGTATTGCTGGGAAAATTTTTGACACTGGTCCAGTTTTGTCTGATTTCTCTCAATTTCTGCAAATAGGTCCTAGGAAACAAAATAGCACAATAACGTCATCATTGTCATTACCCTCATTGAAACAGCGGAGCATCTACTATGTTCTAAGGCAGTGGTCTTCAACCTTAGCTGAACTGCATCAGAATCACAAGGAAGGGTAGTTAAAACATAGACAGCTGGGTTCCACCTCCAGAGTTTTTAATTCAGTAGGTCTGGGGTTGAGTCCAAGAACTTGTCCTTTTAATATGTTCCCAGGTAATGCTGATGCTATTGATCTGGAGAGGTCCACACTTATGAGAACCACTATTCTAAGTATTTTAATCATGCATCACTTCATCTCATCCTAATAAAAATATCCCTATAGAGTAGGTTAAATAAATAATGAACTACATCTGTTTTATTAATGAAGAGAATATGCAACCAAGGAGCCACATGTAGCTTTCTGGATCCTTGAGTGCATCTTGACTGAATCCAAATTTTACAGAACAAATCCTTTTAATAAAGGGATTTTTTTCTGTAAAGTTTGGATTTAAATGAGCGGCTGCACTTGGGGATCTGGAGGGCCACATGTGGCCTTCAGGGTACAGGATCCCCATCCCTGGAAGTAATTTGTTCAAGGGCTCACAGTAGGAGACTAAGCAAGGAATGGAATCCAGGCAATGTAAATCTAGATCTCATACTCATAAACGTAAGGCTAAAATGAAACAAAACAAAATACAAGAAAAATGCTTTAAGTGAAATAATTTTATCTTACAGCTTTCCCTGGATTTTCAAATCCCCATATTCTAACCCTTGTAAAATAAAATGTATTATCAAGAAACAAAATAAAGGTAATTTTAATCTGTCCTTCTGGTTTCAATATATAGTTACAGAAATTCAGGATTGAAGGGACATTATAGGTCCTCCCACATAAACATTAAACCAGTATCTTGAGGCCATCCTTCTTGAACCCACTGAAGAAGAGGTGGCTTGGAATGTCCTGTCATTTAGGGGGCAATTTAATTTTATTTTCTTTTATGAGGAACTAAAGTCTTTCCCCTGTAACTTTAACTGTGTTACTGCCACACCCACCGTCTGCTGGCTGAGCTGTTCCGACAGCACTCTGCTATCCTCAGCCTGGCCTGGCTTCATCATTTCCTGTTGGGCAGTGGTTTCCTCAATCCACTTGATGAGAGTTCCATGGCAGGCTCGGTAATCTCCCAGAACTTCCTGGATACTTTCTAACTCAGTTTGGCTGGAGAAGCAATGGGAAACTGTCATCAGATACCTTGGTATAAATATAGTACAGTTAACAAGGCAATTCCACCCTTAGCCCATGTTTCCAGTTGGGCTTGACTACAAAGAACACATCCCTTGGGAGGCTGAAGCAGGAAGATTGCTCAAACCCAGGAGTTTGAGGTTGCTCTGAGCTATGACGATGCCAAGGCATTCTACCCAGAGTAACAGAGTGAGACTCTGTCTCAAAAAAAAGAACACATCTTTACTCGTGGGGGAACAGCAATGCAAGGCTGAGTGAGACGTTCGCATGTACCCAGTGTCCTGTGGTGAAAAAAGGGAGCAGAAACCAGTTACGCAGTGCTAGCCCTGGGAACTGCCTTGTGATCTGGCCTCATTTTTTCAAATTTATCACCTAGGCTGCCAAGGATTATCAGGGTTTCCAATAAGGTAATACTGGCTATACACTTCTGTACCTTGGCAACAGAGTACCTGTCAGTGTACCACAGGTATGATTTATGAATTGATATAATTTCTTTAGCAGAAAAAGAGGGAGGAGCGAAAAATAGTAATTTCTGTTACTTCCAGTAATAGTTACATCACTTCTGTTAGTTGAGCCTTAGGATAGTAATTCAATTAGAGAGAATCAATCTATACTTATATGAGCTGCTAAACCCCTCCTCCCTACCCAAGTTAGCCTCAGAAAGATGTGGTTTCTGTCTTTCGTATTCATATCTGTCATCAAAGACAGGACTGCTAGTAACAGAGATAAACACCACTGACTTAGCAAATGAAATGGAAGCAAGAAAGGCTACAAAGCCCCACTACAAAAAGGGCTCATAGTGGGATTCAAACTGAGTAAAACAAGAATTGGAGCTGGGCTTGGTGGCTTACACCTATAATCCTTGCACTCTGGGAAGCCAAGGCAGGAGGACTGCTTTGAGGCAGAAGTTTAAGACCAGCCTGAGCAGGAGTGAGACCCCAGTCTCTATCAAAAATAGAAAAATTATCACACCTAATGGTACAATGCACACCACACTTTCGGGTGAAGGGCACACTTATAATTTTTACTTAAAGTATATAAGGAAATTACGTAACCAAAACGTATATACCCTAATAATAATCTGCAATTAAAAAATAAAAAGAAAGGCTCAGTGCCCATGGCACAATGGTTATGGCACCAGCCACATGCACCAAGGGTGGTGGGTTCAAACCCAGCCCTCGCCAGCTAAACAACAATGACAAATGCAACAAAAAAATAGCTGGGTATTGTGGCGGGTGCCTGTAGTCCCAGCTACTTGGGAGGCTGAGGCAAGAGAACTGCTTAAGTCTAAGAGTTTGAGGTTGCTGTGAGCTGTGACACCATGGTACTCTACTGAGGGTGACTGAGGGTGACTGTTTCAAAAAATAAAAACGAAAAAGAAAAAAGGAAAATTAACCAGATATACTGGCACATGCCTGTCATCCTAGCTACTTGGGAGGCTGAGGCAGTAGGATCACTTGAACACAGGAGTTTGAGGTTGCAGTAAGCTTTGAACATGCCACGGCGTTCTAATCAGGGTAACAGAGCAAGAATAAAAAAAAGAAAAGAAAGATCAGAACCCAGGTTCTGTCCCTAAAAAAAACTATCAGATGAGTTAAGAAGTGATTGTCATCACTGGCTCAACTTGGTAAGATCTGGGACACAGGAGAGGCATTGCTAGTCAGGATCATTGCTGATCCAAAAGTAAGTCTCGGGCTGGGTACGGTGGATCATGCCCATAATCCTAGCACTCTGGAAGCCTGAGCTCTGGAGTTTGAGACCAACATGAGCATGAGTGAGATCCCATATCTGAAAAAAAAAAAAAAAAATAGCCAGGCGTTGTAGCAGGCACCTGTAGTCCCAGCTACTTGGGAGGCTAAGGCAAGAAGATCACTTGAGCCCAAGAGTTGAGGATGCTGTGATCTATGACCTCATAGCACTCAACTCCAGGGCGACTAAGTGAGACTCTGTCTCAACAAACAAACAAATAAACAAATAAACCCAAACCCAAAAGCAAGTCTCACTTCTGTTTTGCTCTGGGATTGGCAGTCTTACCTTTCTGTCACTTATCTTGTGCAGAATGTGTACAGTTTTAAAATTTCCATCCCTCCTTATCAGTTGCTACCTTTAAACATGAATATACAGGCTGGGCGCAGCGGCTCACACCTGTTATCTTAGCACTCCGGGAGACGGAGTTGGGACAATCCCTTGAGGTCAGGAATTTGAGACCAGCTTGAGCAAGAGAAAGATTCTGTCTCTACAGAAAATTTTAAAGAATCAGGTGGATGTGTTATGACACCCTGTAGTCATAACTACTTGGGAGGCTGAGACCAGAGGATTGTTTCAGCATAGGAGTTTTAGCCAGGGAGACAGAGCAAAACTCCGTCTCCAAAAGACAAAAAACAAAACAAAACCCCAAGAATACACAGATGCATCCATTTTTTCTTAAGATCTAGTTCCTAAACTCTAACAGATGAAAAAGTTTTGGGCCACCACTCACCGGGTTTCAAGCTGGGCAATGACTCGGTGCCAACGCTCCTGCAGCTGGGAACCCTTTTCCTGGTAGCGCTCCAAATCCAGGTTTCGCTCTGGTGTCAGACGACTCAGCTGCTCTGCTACTACCTTGCCCTTGGCAATTTCCTCATCTAGGACTGAAAACACCGAATTCTTCTCCTTCACATCACTAAGCCAGTGCTACAAAAACAGAAGCACAGAAACAGGTTAAATATTTTCCATACTAAAAAGAAGTCAGACTCAATCAGGAAACAAGGAGATTGTCTACAGCTGGCTCCACTGTATTTATCTGTAATGGTACTCTGGAATGTTTGTGCCAGAAATGCTTCCACAAGTCACAGTCTCTGTTTTCCTGATCCACACTGGGAAGCCAAGAGCAATTGGTATAGAGAAATGTGCAAAGAACTTGTGCTTCAAACCTGGCTTCAGTGCTTGAGAGCTATGAAAACACAATCTCACCTATAGCTAAACATTTTTCCTAATGCACTTCACAGAGTACCTTGTAAGAATAAAATAATAGCTAAGTGCTTTACAAACTTACGGCATAACCATTGATTGTATCTGATTAAGCCATGATTTTACTACAGAGAAAAGGGAAAAAATAAATAGAAAAAACATAGTCCTTTCTCTTCCACTTCTAGCTATATACATTTTTCTCAGTCCCTTCTTCTTTGAATACATATTAAAATATATGAAATATGATATTCTGGCTTGGCGCCTATAGCTCAACCGGCTAAGGCGCCAGCCACGTACACCTAAGGTGGCAGGTTCGAATCCCCAGCCCGGACCCGCCAAACAACAATGACGGCTGCAACCAAAAAATAGCCGGGTGTTGTGGCGGGCGCCTGTGGTCCCAGCTACTTGGGAGGTGGAGGCAGGAGACTCGCTTGAGCCCAGGAGTTGGAGGTTGCTGTGAGCTGTAATGCCACGGCACTCTGCCCAAGGGGACAGCTTGAGGCTCTGTCTCAAAAAAAAAAAGGAAATATGATATTCTGTCTAGTTTAAATGCAAATGTAAATCAGTGTCATGTCTTTCAAAATTGCATTTCTCTACTAACCCAAAGCGATGGATATGTTAAGTCAACCTCCTAAGAAACCTAGAGCAACCTACCCGTAACGTAGACCGATGGGACTCCAGAGCTGAGAGATCTGCTGGTACTGCTTCCTCTTGACTCAGCTTGATTTCATAACCCTTGACCAAGAGTTCAGCATCCTGTATACTACGCACTATAACATCGATTGTCTTTAATCTGTGGGGATGAAATCATCTTCCTTCATTAACAAATAAATTTTAAGAGCTAGATTATATACCTAGAGTGCTGTAGACAGGGTCATAAAGCATAACTACCAGAATCAATTCCACCATTTTTAGATGAAGACAGAGTTTTGTGAAAACAAGATAGCATGGTACATGTGCTGCTAATTTAAGCCAAATAAAATAAAGTTTTAACTTATACTGGGACACACACACGTGTTGAACTCATGGAGAAAAGGCATGCAGCCAGAAACCCACGTGACACTGGGAAGAGTCTAAGATCTGCTACTCTTTGAAGTCATGGGTGGAGAAAAAGGGGTAGGTGGAAGACTTCTAAGACTATTATCTAGTTTAGCTGAAACTTTTCTTTTTACTCTTTCATCTCCCTTTCTCATAATGCTTTTAAGTGTTATTTTTCAGAAGTATCTAATAAAACTGAAATGAAATACAAAAGAGTCCTAGCACAGCAAATCAACTCCCCATCCATATCACTAGAAATTACAGCCAACACTATCATGGGTACATGCTCTTCAAGATCTGCAACGTCTGTGTTATTCATGAAATACTCCAGGGCTTTCCTCTTCTTATCACAATGCCCTTTGGACCCAAAACTTCAGCTTACTTACTTATTCAGATAGACAGTAGAGAGACCATAGACATGGTCCATCTTCTCCACCAAAAGATTCAGTTCTGAGCGCAAAGTTGGGACACTTGAACCAGATGGAGATTGATGGAGAAAGCTGTTGCATTTCGTGGAAACAGCATCTAAGTCTGACTTCAGTTGCTGCAAATCCTCCTGGGTACGCTGCCAGAAATAAGATACATAACATTAGCTAGGTGTGGTGGTACACGCCTATGGTCTCAGCTACTTGGGAGGCTAAGGTGGGAGGATCACGTCAGTCCAAGAGTTGGGAGGCTAAAGTAAGCTATAATTGTGGCACTGCACTTTAGACTGGGCAACAGAATGAGATCTTATCTCTAAAAATAAATTTGAAAAGTAAAAATAGGGCCAGGCAAGGTGGCTCAGGCCTGCAATCTCAGCACCTTGGGAGGCTAAGACAGGAGAATTGCTTGAAGCCACCAAGTGTTTGAGATCAGCTTGGACAAAATTTTTAAACATTATCTAGGTGTAGGGGCATACAGGTATAGATCTAGGGGTAAAACTGGATGAAAATAGAATTCATGATTGTGTGTATGTGAAAGAGACATAGACCGATAAATACACTGATCTATATATTATATATATTTATTGGGGGGGGGGTAGAGACAGAGTCTTCTTTTATTGCCCTTGGTAGAGTGTCATGGCATCATAGCTCACAGCAACCTCAAACTCTTGGGTTCAAGTGATCCTGATGCCTCGGTCTCCAGAGTAGCTGGGACTACAGGCATTTGCCAAAAACGCCCAGCTATTGTTTTTTATTTTTTAGAGATGGGGTCTCATTCTTCTTAGGCTGGTCTGAACTCCTCAGCTCAAGTGATCCACCAGCTTTGCCTCCTAGAGTGCCCCCCTTACTTATCCCAATGCCCTTCGGACCTAAAACTTCAGGTTACTAACTTAACCAGCTCATTATATGTAACTTTCAAAACAACTATGTGGCATTATAATTGCCATTTTATAAGAAAGGAAACTAAGTAAAAGTGAAAGTAACTTATTCAAAATCATGGACAGAGCCCATATCAGAATCCGAGTCTTTCCTTCTATGTATTGAGTTATATGCCTGACGTAAGGGATAGAGAGAGAACAGCATTGTTAATGCACCATTTTAAAATACTATGCTCAAATGGGCTACTTAGAACAATTTACCAGTCTGCCTTCTCAACTCTGTAGGAAACTAATCAACAGTCAGCAATTCATGTGGAGCTAAAATTACGTTTCTCTATAGATAAAAGACATTTATAGGCTTTATGCAAGAAATGCTGAGTAAGACTGTCAAGCTCTTGCTTCATTAGGAGCCATACTCTTTTGCCATCCAGTTAGTTCTGATGGCATTCTCTCCACAACCAGCACCCCCTTATTCTTAGGGCTTACCTCTTGCTCTGCAATCCTTAATGCATTGTCCTGCCGGGCATCTTTGTCAGTCCTAGAGCTGGCTAAGGACTGGATTCGTTTGACCACCTTCTGTTCACACTCCTCCAGGCGTAGCCGAATATTCTTCAGCTCTGAAATATACATCTTGGCCACAGTCTCCTCTTTGTCCTCTGTGAATGCACAAGCATCAAAGACCAGGAAGCTACACAGCTGAAATTGGCAAACCTGAGGAAAACAGAGCTCCCCGCAAAACAGACGGCACTACTGGGTAAGGGACCTGACGTCCTGCTGATGGAAGCTAGGCCTTATTCAGGGAACTTTCTGTCCCAGATTGTCATTTCACGCACTGCATACTAAGGTTTGAGGATCTAAACCTATTATAGTCACAAGAAAATGTGATAGGAAGATTAGCAGTAACAAGTGCATTATCAAAACAACTTCTTCTAATCTAATTTTGAGAATTTATCTCTATAAGCTTTTCTCTACCTCAAATTGAAAAAGGTGATGACACTTTCTAGTCTATACAAAGGGTCTAGCAGCACCTGTCAGGGCTCTCATTCTGCCATTCTCTTTCCTTCCTCCCAATGCACATACCATTCTCTATGGACTTCACCAGGTGCTGGAAGCGGGCTTTACAAGCCTCCACCTCCTCTTCCACGCGCAAGCGATCAGCCACTGAGAAGAGCACGGAGTCACGACTATCCTGCAGAAAGTCTTCATAGTGAGCCTGGAGGTTCTTCATGACCTGGTGGCACTCCCCTGGTGCAGAGGATCGGAGCTAGGGAAAACAAGCCAGAAGAAATTGCACTAGAATGATAACATCTTACTTCTTCCTCCTTTTTACTAAAGTCTAAGATACATATAAAACAGTGCACAAACCGTAACTGAAAACTTGTGGATTTTGCTACATTAAACTCATTCATTTAATCAGCATTTAAATCAAGAAGCAGAATACTACCAGCACCACAGAAGCACCCTTTGTGCCCCACCGGACATAACTCTTAATCATTATTTCACCAGTATTTACCTACTACATACTCTCATGCAAAAGAGATGTGCTTATCCCAGAGAGTAGCAAAAAGCCTGCAATCTTCTCCCTTTGCAAAGAAGACCAAAGATGTTATTTATTTTGATTAGGAATTTTCTTTACCATTCAGACTGTTGTTTCCAGTGTGTGAGACCCTCAGACCCCTAACTCTGAAATAGTATCTTTGACTCTACTGCACTTGTGTGGGAAGTCTTACAGGAGTGAAAAAAGCTTCTGTTAAAAGCTTACTAATAGGCTGTGAGCCTGGGGTAACATTTTTTTCACAATTACCTTTTCTAGGTTCCAGGTCTGTACAAGGTCAAGATCTTTTCGCAGATAGTTCCAGGAGATAAGGCTTTTGGTGTTAACGTGAAGCTGGTGCCAAAGGGCCATCACCTTCTGATAAGACTGTTCCACCCTGGAAAGAACACAGAACCTGACATTAGCTTTTGGAAGATTTAAGCTCCACATTAGAAACCTTATAAAGAAAAATGAGATTGTATTAGCAGAACTGAGCTTATGTGATGAGCAAAAAAAGGTAACAAATCAAATAGCAGTAGCTCAAGAATAGTTAGAACTAAATTGAGGTCTTCAGTTTGGATTTCCTACATCTTATGTATGTTAGCACATATTTAGCAAGCTCATAAATATAACCTGAATATAATATGATTATGAGACACTCAAGAGAAGAAATAATGAGGCAGAGCAATAACAGAGCAAAGCATAAAGTAACTCCATTTGGAATTGCTGAAAAGGATAATATTGATGCTTAAAAAGTAAAATGCTAAAATGTTTAAAAGTTAATAGCAACTGAGAAAGTTCATCTGGAATATAAAAGGATACTGTAGTATGAAATGTTTGAGAAGATGTTTTCTTAAGCATTTCATGCCTACTTGAAGCTCAACTTGTAGAAGTCTTACAGACACACAAACACATCAAGTTACTTTGAATTTCTTCAATTTGAGAAGGAAATGTGAGATATAATAAAAGGAAAACTAGAAGCCATGACATCAGTTAAATATGAGACATCAAATTCATTAATTTATCTTTCTTTTCTTCAAAAAAAAAAAGCCCACTAAAATTTTCAGTAAAGCTGAAATATCAAAAGAAAAATGAAAATACAAAGAAATAAAAATAGAAAATAACAGATCCTTAGAAAATGGGTTCTGGGGGGTCCAATATTTGAAAAAATAGGAGTTCTTAAAAAGAACAGAAAAAACCCAGAGAACAAAATCATCTAAAAAAAACTTTCCCAGATCTAAAAAATGAGTTTCCAGCTTGGATTCATTAGCAAAATGCATACAAAAAGACTCATCCAAGGTATAGCTCCCTTCCAAAGATTAGAGACAAAGGAAAGAGTTTCAAAGCTTCAAGGGAAATAAAGATTTCATTTGAAAGGTAAAAATAGCAAACTCTTCCATATCTTAACAGTTGTGGAAGATACACAAGTCTATTTGTCTAAACTAATAGTACTGCTCACTACAATAGGTGAATTTTATTCTTATGTAAGCCTAAAAAATTTAAAAAATGGAGAAAGAATGCAAATGACACCGTACATTTCAACAAGAAACTGTGAAGCTAAAAAGTTATAGAGCAGGGGTACCCAACCTACAGCCTCATGTGAATTTGCTACAGACGTTTTTTGCTTACCTGTGTATCAGATATTACTTAAAGTATGCACAAATTTTTTTTTTGCTAACTACCTTTCATTAGTGTTTATGTATTTAATGTGGGGCCCAAGACAACTCTTTTTCTTCCAAAGTGCAGAAGGGGAAAAAAAGAAAAGTTAGACATCCTTGTTATAGCACAATGATTTCAAGGTTCAGAATAAAAATAATTTCCAAAAGAATGTCTCTGGGCCAGGCACAGTAGCTCATGCCAGTAATTCTAGCACAATGAGAGGCCAAGGCAGGACAATCTCTTAAGCTCAGAAGTTCAAGACCAGCCTGAGCAAGAGCGAGATCCAATCTCTACTAAAAAAAAAAAAAGAAAAAATTAGCCAAGTGTCATGGTAGGTGACTAAACTCCCAACTACTGGGGGATCATCTGAGCCCAAGAAATTGAGGTTGCTGTTAGCTATGATACCATAACACTTTACCCACAGCAAGAGAGTGAGACTCTATCTTCAGAAAGAAAAAAAAAAGAATTAATTATGTATCTGGCCAATTAATTATGAATGGAGAAGAAAGACATTTTCAGATGAGAAGTCTCAAAAAAGTTACCTCTCATGTAGGTTTTTTAAGTAAGGTACTGAAGAGTGTGATCTACCAAACTAGGGAATAAACTAATAAGTAGGAGTTAGAATCTAGGAATCAGTGGGTCCAACAGAGGTTCACTGGCTATAGCACCTCATGCCTATAATCCTAGCACTCTGGGAGGCCAAGGTGGGTGGATTGCTTGAGCTCAGGAGTTTGAGACCAGACTGAGGAAGAGTGAGACCCCCATCTCTACTAAAAATAGAACACTAGCCAGGCGTTGTGGAGGGCACCTGCTACTCAGGAGGCTGAGGCAAGAGGATTGCTTGAACCCAAGAGTTTCAGGTTGTTGTGAGCTATGACTCCAGGGTACTCTACCAAGAGTGACAGAGATTCTGACTCAAAAAAAAAAAAAAAAAGAACATGCTTGCCATGCATGAGAGTAGGGAAAAGACCAGAGTGGCTGCAGCTGAGTACAAGCAAAGAAAGTGGGAGGGGGGATGATCCCTTAGAGTACGAAGTGGCTTACCTTTAAACAATTTAATGTACTAACCAAACAAAAAAGGTATCAATTTAAACAAAAATTTTGACATAATTACATTTGGAAGATAAGAAAAAGTGTATGCATGTATACATGTGTATATGCAGAAAACTAAATGTTAATTTCACAGAGAAAGAAATTAATAAGATCATTTCCAAAGTTGAAAAACAAATTAAGAAATAGCAGGAAAAAAACTACATTTAGAAATTTGTAGCTAAAACCTAGCAAAAGCTACAAAAAGAGCTAGAAATAGGTGACTCTTGAGAAGTAGAATTTTGAAGTAGGAGAGGGAAAGGTGCCTGCTAGTTTTTATTACAATAAACTCTGTAGTATAACCAACTTTCTAAAATATGTACATATATTACTTTAATAAAAAAAAAATTAGCTGTCATTACAAAAATCAATCTCCTGCGAGTAAATTACTTAAAAATAAAATATTATTGAATATATTTCAACTGAACAAAAATATTTATTGAAGATCTATTAAATGGCTGGCAGTATGAGATTTGATATCCCTAATGGGAGGTCTTTCCTAAAAGAAACATGACAACTCAGTTGCTCTGTTGAAGAAGATCACAAATGCAGATTCGACCCTCCTGCATTTCACAGCAGAGGGGGCAGCACTGGTGGCATTCAAGCACAGTTACCTGCTGGCCATCTCAATGGCGTCCTTATTGGGTGGGGGGATGAGGAAGCAGACTGAGGGCACCATTGCTTCATTCCCTGTGGGGCTAATCACTTTCCACTTGGTCCGCTGGGAATTATCCTCTAGCACACACTCATCATTCTTGCAAATAGTGATCTGAAGAGATAAATTCATAATTATTGCTAATGGATAAATCAACAACTCATTACTGGTGCCTGATCCCAAGGCTATGAAATTCTCAAGAAAAAAATCTGCTTAAGATTTGCTATCAATTAGTGGGGGCTCTTGATTTTGACAAAAGGTAATCAGTATAAATTCACAATACAGGAAAAATTATGACAGCAAATAAATTTTTTATAAAAAGTGTTAGATGGGGTATACAAAAGTTATAAGGAGACTATAAGACCCTCAACAGCAATCTCTGCGCCAGAACTACTAGAATAAAAATTAATGGAACAGAATAACAACATTGCTTTTGTAATGAATCCTCCTCCTCCCATTCATTTTTTTTTTTTTAGGATACCTTAAGAGCAATTATTTATTTTTATATATATATATATTTAATTAAATCATAGCTGTGTACACTAATGCAATCATAGGGTACAATGTGTTGGTTTTATATACAATCTGAAATATTTTTATCAAGTTGGTTAACATAGCCTTCACCGTACTCTTTTAGTTATTAAGACATTTATATTCTACATTTAGTAAATTTCACATTTAACCTTGTTAAGATGCACTGTAGGTGTGGTCCCACTAATTACCCTCCCTCTACCCATCTCCTCCCTCCCCCTCCTCCTGTCCTATTATCCCATAAAAACTTCTGAAAAATATTTAAGTATTTTAGAATCATCAAGTCGTTGCCTTGAAAGAAAAGTGACCAATTGTTACCTGTATTGACTTTATTTTATAGACAGAAATACTGAGAAACAGAACAATGCAGTCCCATTCTTTTATTCATCCATTCTAAAATAAATATTTCTTATATGCTAGGGTACTAAAGACACAATGGTAGAATGGTAAGTCGATAAATATGATCTATATTTGGCACAGTCTTGTGGGGTATACAGTTACAATACTATGTGACAAATGCAATTTAGTAGGAGGCCATGGGAAGGAAATGACCCAGTCTTGGCTACAGAGATAAAGACAGATTACTCAAGACCTTACCAGCACAAAGAGCAATGAAACATCATTGTATGACTTAAGCTGGGGAGTGTCATTTTTTTAAAAAAGATCATGCTGGTGGTGAAGTACAAAATGTATTACTGGGGAAGCTGATACAATAATCCAAGTGCAAGAAATATATGATCTAACTTAGGATAGTAGCAGCAGAGACAGAAAGTAGTACATTTAAAGGGGATATTTAAAAATTAGTATTAACTTAATGGTCCTACCAGTATGGAGAATAAGGGGAGCGGGGAGGGATTATCTCCTATCTGTTACAAAGTACCATTTCTTTCAGAACTTAGGCAACTGGGTGAATGACAAAGCCAATCAATCACTGAGGCAGAAAGCAGGTAAAGTTATAAAGTTGAAGCTTTCTTTTCTTTTCTTTTCATCTTTTTAAATGAAAGAAGAGATTTGAGCATGTTTAAATTCTAATTTTAAAAATTCAGTAATTTAGTCAGATGTGGTGGCTCATGCCTGTAGTCCAAACAATCTGGGAGGCTAAGACAGGTGGATTGCTTGAGCTCAGGGGTTTGAGACCAGCCTGAGCAAGAGTGAGACTCCGCATTGCCTAAAAATAGAAAAACTAGTTGGGCATTATGGTGGGTGCCTGTCGTTCCAGCTACTTGGGAGGCTGAAGCAAAAGGATCTTTGGGCCCAAAAGTTTGAGGTTTCTATGAGCTATGATGATGCCACAGCACTCTACCCAAGGCAACAGAATTCTAAAACTCTGTCTCAGAAAAATAAAACAAAAATTGAACTCTATAATTTGACCTTTCCTTATTATCACAACCCTCGCTAGAAGGCTTCACTTCTCTGTCTCTTCCCTCCAGAGCCTGGAGACACCCTTTTCACCTTCTCACCTCAATTTGTCGATAGTCACAGATGGCCTTTACAGAAATTGTACTCTTTAGTGCATGGTCTGGATTGCGGGGTTTTAGCTGAACAATAGTTTTTGATCGGCCAACAAGACTGGCAACGGAACTCTTGGATTGTATAAGTTGCTCCTTTTCATCCTACAAAATGAGAAGAAAAATAAAAAGACATTAATGTTGCTGTTCAGGGTGGCTAAGTCAACAAAGAAAGCTGAGGGCTCCACTCCCTCAGAGAATGTCATTTCTCAGTTAAGTAGGGATCGTTGGTGGAGCCATCTTAATAAGGACAAAGAAAAAAGGAGAGAATGTTTCAGTCTTCTACTAAATGCTTTTGTACTCAAAATTTGCAGCTTTCTCCCTATGCCCTTTTCAATGAACCATAAAGCCACATGCAAAAAAACAAAATAAAAACAAACTTCAAGCTGCCAAATACAGCTATATAGCTAACAAAGGAATTTCCCAAATATGGTTCAGAGAACATGAAAGTTAAAGACAATAATAATAACAACCATATTATTATTATTATTATTATTATTAAATTTCTCACTGGTAGAAACCAGTTCTTCCCTTTCTGCTTAGGGGAGGCCTGGGTTATAGTTATTTAAAAATTTTTAAATAATTATATTTCCCAAGCTCCACTTCATATAGTTTACTTTCCTAAATTGAGTTAAGCTTCCAGAGAAAGATCTTAGCTCTTCAATCAATAATACTGCTGGTGAAGGCATCATGATAAATGATTTAGGGTTTGCCTTTCAGTATCTTGTGCTATATTCAAGTAAATTAGTTTGAAAGGAGTCTTATACAAAATTGAAAATCTCCAATCTCTGAAAATCCAATAAACTTAAGAACTAATTTTGACACCAAAATTGGTAGTAATCTACTACCAATTCCATTAATGAGTCAAAGATAATGTTTATCTGTCAGCCAGGATGTTTTAAGCCCATTTTGAGGTATAAAGTGCCCAGAAGAGGGCCTTCTGAGGATAGATGTAGATGTGATGAGAGTAAAGAGTTAATAATGTAAGGAAATGCCATTAAAGAATTAAGAATATGCATGTCAAGGAAAAGAAATGCTTAAATAAACTACCTGTGCCTGTCCCCGGGAGCATGATTGGAAGAAATACAACTTTAACTTATTAGTTAAGAAAGAGGAATGGAATATATCAGGGAGACAGCCACACTTCCATACTTGAGAGCTGGTCTACCCATTTTTTCAGTTTCCTCGCAATAAAGATGTCAATTTCTGTCTAACCCACAGCCAAACATCTCAAATTCCAGAGACAAAAGTGCTCAGCGTGGTAAAAGTTCTGAAAAGAACCAGAAGCCAGGACAGATGCTCCCGAACCTGACGGACAAGCTGAGGACAAGCTGAGGAGCAGACCCAGGTGACTCCATGCCCCGATGACGCCGCCAACCCGATGCCCCTGACCTGGAGAGGAGGGAACAGAGCAGCGACCCTCGAGAAGAGAAGATGTGACAACAACTGCAGAGGAGTTACCCTATGACAGAAGGTACTCTGTGGGAGGGAGGAGATAATAGCCAAGGATTATATACCTCCTTCATACTTGTAGTACCTCCAAGCGAGACATTTTAGAGACAACATCTGAAAAATCAGGTTTTTATTCTTCATTCCAAATCAATTAAATTAATAGACTGTTTGCCTAGATGAATGTAAACCTATTTATAGATAAGTTTACAATACCTGAAAGTGTGAAAAAAATATCAACTAATGTGCACAAATGCCTCATTCTCACCTACCAATAAACAAACAAACAAACAAACAAACAAACAGTTTGGGGTTATTCTGGTTCTCTCATTTTCTATTGAAATGTGACATTCCCTGGGCAGCACTTATGGCTCAAAGGAGTAGGGCACTGGCCCCATATGCTGGAGGTGGCGGGTTCAAACTCAGCCCCAGCCAAAAAAACCCAAAAACAACAAAAAAAGAAATGTGACATTCCCCTAGCTTCTCACACAGGAAAAGTATTAATAATCTCCCTATTGCATACACACTTCTATCTTGAGAAGTAGCCCTGTCTTGCCAACTCTGGAATACACATTCATTAACTGTAAGCAGCCCTGCTGCTAATTTTATTTCTAGCTCTCCTGAAGGAATAAGTCATTGGAGAAAATGAATGTAAAATTGATTTGGATTAAATACTGAATGCAAAACTATTTTTTAAAAGTTAATGTTACTGCATAAATAAACTTGACAAATACTGCATTATAAATAAGATTTTAATGGTGGCCTTAATTGAAATCAGTTTTCTAATATTTCATCATTACCACAAGAAAATTATCAAGGAGGAAAAGTTTGGCTCAGTTCTATTGCATTTTTTGTTTTAATTATTCTTGGTATTTGAGAGTAAAATAAAATTTGAAATCAGCTAGTCCCCTTCAACCCTATTTTTCATGCTCTATACCTTGTCCTTGGCTCTAACTATTGCATTAAAATAGGAACAATGCAAAGAAAGTGTGGTGAGCACTAAGTGGCCGGGGGAGATGACTAGGCCTTTACTTCCACAACATACCTGAAGAAATCTTATAGCAACTTCTTTAAGAAAAGAAAAAGGAAACTGATTAATAAAGCTGATTAAACTCTATTTGAATGTGAGCCAAACTTTATTATAACAATGACCCATTGCCCTGGAGCTTTCAAGGATATAAACAGCAGCAGCTGACATGGTTTACTGTTTCTCAGAGGTAATCATCCCCACTGACCCGACACCCACCATGGAGTCCTGGAGCAGGTCCTCAAGGCGGGATAAGCTGGTATTGTGGTCACAGGAATATTTTCGTTTGATGGAGTCATGAAGGTTCCTCAAGAATGACTCCAGGTCTCGTGCATCACTGAAGAACTGTGGGAAGACAAGAAATGGGTGCCATAGCTCCAAACACCAAGATGTAAACTAAGAAAAAAAGATCTTACTGTACAGAGCTGCACAAAATTGTATAAACTCTAGTGGATTAGTGATAGTTCATTACAAAGGCCACCCAGTATAAACTGAAGGACTTAAAAAGCCATGCCAATAAAATACTAGTTATGATTACCACTAAGCCGACTAAACCCCATAGAAAAGGTACCCTGCTTCACATCCTCAGAAATTATTGTTCTTTCTTCCTTACTTCTGGTTAGTGACAGCCCTGGGGTATGAGGTACAATTCATGAAAAGTCTATAAAATAACCAGGGAGATTATTTAATATAGGGCAAAAACAGATAACAACCTATTTCCTCTTCCCACTCTTACTTGAAAATAAGCAGTATATTCTTTCATGTTGCAACAGATTGAAAAAAGAAAAAAAAATCCTAATATTTTACAGAGGTGGAGTCCATTTCTCCTCCCCTTAAAGCTGGGCATGGCCACATGCCTTGCTTTGACCAAAGGCACATTTTAATAAAAGGTATGAAAGCATTAAAAAAGCACTTGTGGCTATTCAGGAGGCTGAAGCAGGATGATCACTTGAATCCAGGAGGTGGGCGGTTATCGTGAGCTATGGCTATGACAATGCCATTGCATTCTAGCCAAGGCAGAATGTCTCAAGAAAAAAAAAAAGAAAAGAAAAGAAAGAAAGAAAAAGTAAAAAGCACTTGTGCACTGGGACTTGCTTTCTCTTCCTGCTGTGGAGCACAGCCACATTGTGAAGAAGGCTGTTGCTAGATGCTAGGTACATGTGGCCTTAGACCCCATCACTCCAGCCAACTGTCAGACACGTGAGTTATGCCACTTGGTACCACCCAGTGCCCAACCTTTCTGCCAGCTGCCTGCAGCCATGAGTAAGGCTGGCAAGATGAGAAAAACCACTCAGCTGAGCCCAGCTGAAATTCACCAGTACAATCAAGAGTTAACTAAATGATTGTTGTTTTAAGCAAGTAGGTTTTTTTTGGGGGGGGGGTGTCATACAATAAAAGTTAAGTGATGCAGGTGTGTTCTTAACCTCATTTTCACCATATGTGTACACACACAAAGACATACCTGAAAGTAAGCGGTATTCTCTTTCACGTGCTGCTCAACACACAAGCAGAGCTGCTTCATCCACTGCAACTGGGACTGGACAGCAGCACTGTAAGCCTGTAGCAAGCAAACACACAGATGGGAGAGAGAGGTCAACAGAGCCGATAACTACGTGTAATACTTGCCTCCAAGTAGAGCTCTGCTAAAGGCTGAAGAGCCAGCAGAAGAGACATCGGAACACTTGACTGGCATTTGCTCCACGCATTTCATCCAAGTCTCTTATCTATTTTACCGCATGGTTTTACAAGGAGTTAGACAGAAAAGCTTTTTTCCACACTCAGTTGCACCTAAATGATCTGGCCAACAAAACCAAATCCAACCCTCTGGATTCCTCCACTGTTTTTCATCTCTGGGTAAAAGAGGCAAGATCTGTCAGGACAACTACTTTAAGAAAATGGTCCAAGTCACTTTTCCTCCTACAGTTAGGAATGTCTCTCCTATTATTTCTCTTAGCAGTCTTCTTAGGCTATTAAAACTGTTCATAGGCTTTTGAGGGCTACATGAATGGTCTGGGATAAAGGGGAAAGACCCAAGACAAATGATCCTGACAATTTCTCCAAGTCTTTCAGCAGAACAAAGCCCTTAATTTGAGTACTTTAAAAATAATAACCTCTGAGCATTAGGGTTTTCACACATTCTCAAGTCACATACCTCCACAGTCTGTTTGGCTGGGTGGTTCTCAAGTGATAGCATTTCTGCTGTATCTTGTAGAGACCGAAATACATCCTGTTTCTCCTCCAGTTCCATCGTCAACTCCTGAAAATTGAATTCACTTCTATGGAATAAGTGCTTTTTAGGAAGGGTAGCAATAAAAAAAAAGTTGTGTTCTCTGTCTTACTTTAAAGGAACCTAAACATGGAAGTGGTGCCAATAAGAATGAGTACTGGAACAGAGAAAAGAGATAACTTGGCTGTGGAAGACAGTTCATGTCAGCACCTACACCAGTACATGACACACCAGCAGATGAGTATCACTGACTGCCGGTTTTGCCCAGACTACTTCCTCAGCCTACAACACTCTCCATTGACTCTAAAAGACCTAATTTAAATGCCAGCTCTGCTGTGAAGCTGGGTACTAATCTTACTATCAGATACATCCCTTCTCCTTGACGCTTTCAGAGCACTTTCTTTATTATGGTGGACATAAAGTTGGTGTGCAGTTTAAAATAGTTTAACATAATAAATTGCACATGAATTTCATGTCTACCCTCTATCTCTATCATAGTCTAATTTCAGTTTTCATACATGCTATTTACTATATTAGTGTCTATTATTTCTTCTTGCCTTAGGAAGAATCATATGCCACCCTCCAATCAGGAGAAGCCTATACCAGGTGTGGTGGTGAGTGCCTATAATTGCAACTACTTTGGAGGCTGAGGCAGGAGGACCATTTGAGCCCAGGAGTTTGAAGTCAACCTGAGCAATATAAAAAGATCCCATCTTAAAAGAAAAGAAGAAGAAAGAATAAGAAGGAAAAAAGCAATAATAATAACAAGAAGAACTATAGTATCTAAAGTGTGGTGTGCTCTCACCTAATAGGCACAGGTTTAAGGGTATTTGGCACACTTCCTGGCTGAGTGCAACAACTATGACAGGGACTTTACCTAACAAATGCAAACAATGTAACGTAATAGTTTGTATTCATCTGGAAAAAAAAAAGTATCCCGAGTGTTCACAAAAAACCTTCCTCTCTGCATAGAGCTTACAAAATCTTTGAAATCCTCAATGTGAAAATACTAAAAGTAGCAAAAAATAACCTTGTCTACATCTTTCACTGAAAAAAATAAAAAAAAAATTGCCCCATTGTCAAATGCCATTATTTCCCCTCCATTTTACAAGTGAAGAGACTGAGACCAAAAAATTATTAAATAAATTAAGAAGAACCTAGCAATTTGTGGGAAGCTAAGAATATAGGCCCATTAAACAATACTATGCTAAGCACTTTGCTCAGATTAGCTGATTAAATCTTACTCAATCTTTTATATAACTCTTTGAAGTGGTGCTATTATATTTTATAGAAGTCCAGAGATATTAAATGACTTGCCCAAGGTCACAGAGCTAGTTAGTGGAAGAATTAGAATTTGAATTTAGATCTGTCTCAGTCCAAAGCCTCTTATCTTAACCACAAAGCTGTCATTGCTTATGAAATAACTCAACTTGCACATTGCTACTCTACTGAACCAAGATACTGCCTTTCTAAATGGAGTCTAACTAAATTCATTCTTGGACGCTGCTGCCCCTCTCTCCATGTACACTCCTCACATGCACAGATACATTGAGTAGGGTCCTCTAGCCACCCAAGCAAGCTTTCAGCAGACTAGCTTCTCTGTGTCCATCTGCTGCTATTAAATAAATATGACAGGTCTGCTGTGCTAGACTCACAGAAAAGTAGTTTCTCTTGGCTGAGATATTGGGATTGTTGTCACTCCAGTCATATGCTAGTTCCTCCTCCTCCTTCTCATTCAACCAGATCAACTCAGCTGTAGCTCTGAAGACAAATTTATGCAGGCTCTGAAGATGTCTCATCCGGAAGCTAGACGTTTCCTAGGCAAAGCAAGGATTACACAGTTAGATTGCCAGCCTTTATATCTGTAGAAGATAGCACATTTGACATCCAAGGAAAGAATAACCCAGGAGATGTATTTAGTCTTGCTTTTAAATCTCTGGGTTCTTCTCCACAGATTCTAGATTCATACAAGTTTCATATGAGATTTCCAGAACCCTTGTCCATCCTAGGTAGAAGACAGAACTCATAAGGCCTTTGTAGGGCTCCCTGGATAAAGAAATGACCCTAGGTCTGTCCTACTATGAATAATCTTGAAAAGCAGAAATGAAAAACAACAGATAGAAGTGAAGGCCTTTCAGACTAATCTCAAACTTTTAGTTTTGAGGTTTCCAAGTGAAACAGCCATCAGCTTGGTGAAGCATGATAGCTAGGATACGTTCTATTTATTTAAAACTGTAATCCTAGTATTCTGGAAGGTCGAGGCAGGAACTCTTGGGCTCAGGAATTTGAGACCAGCCTGACCAAGAGTGAAATCCTGTCTCTACGGAAAACAGAACAGCCAGCCCAGCATTGTGGTAGGAGCCTGCAGTCCTAGCTACTTGGGAAGCTGAGGGCTGAGACAAAGGGATCTCCTGAGCCCAAGAGTTTGAGGTTGCTGTGAACTGAAATGCCATAGCACTCTCTACAGGGTAGACAGTGAGATTCTGTGTCAAAAAAAAAGAAAAGAAAAGTTGAGAAAATGTCCTAATACATATGAACAACTGCATAGTAAATGAATTCCTAATAATTAGAAAAGTAAAACAGGACCAAGCAATCAGCTTTCTGAATTAGGTAAAAGTTATCTGAAAAGAATGAGAATCTCCATGAACAGAAGTCACAGGAGAACCAGTCAAAACTTACCTTCAATTTACAGTATTGTGTCTCCAGCTTTCCAAGTGTTTCAACATAGCTGGTATGGAAATTTGGGGACATCTTTCCCTAATAAGAAAAAAATGACATAAAAATACATTAGAAAAAGAGTAAGTAAACTGTTACATATGTTATGGTTTCAACTATGTACATAGATAATGGTTGGTTGCTCTAAGAAAAGAGAGGCTTAGATACAAATCTCCGGGTCACAAATGGATCAATAAATTGTGGTATATGTACACCATGGAATATTATGCAGCCTTAAAGAAAGATGGAGACTTTACCTCCTTCATGTTTACATGGATGAAGCTGAAACATATTCTTCTTAGCAAGGTATCTCAAGAATGGAAGAAAAAGTATCCAATGTACTCAGCCCTACTATGAAACTAATTTATAGCTTTCATATGAAAGCTATAACCCAATTATAGCCCAAGAATATGGGGAAAAGGGAGAGGGAGAGGAGAGGGGAGGATGGGGGAGGGAGGGTGATCAGTGGGACCACACCTATGGTTCATCTTACAAGAGCACATGTGAATCTTTCTAAATATAAAATATAAATGTCTTAACACAATAACTAAGAAAATGCCATGAAGGCTTTGTTAACCAGTTTGATGAAAATATTTCAAATTGTATATAAAACCAGCACACTGTACCCCATGACTGCATTAATGTACACAGCTATGATTTAATAAAAATTTTAACAAACAAACAAACAAACAAACCAAAAAACAAATCTCTGGGTCAGTTTGGTGCAGCACTAAGTGGGCAAGAATCCAGCACGGTAACTACAACCAACAGACCCTCACTATCATGTGTTTCCAGAAATTCTGGGAGGCTTCTAAGCAAAATCAATGCCTGATAATTTCCAAACTATCTAATTGCTTTTTTGAAGGGGAAAGCTAAAATTATAAACGTGTAGATAGAATAATAAGTGAGGAAGAGGCGAGACTAAATGAATAATTTTTTCCATACCAACTCTCTAGTGCAGGAAGATGGGGAAGTAAAAAGAGCATGAATTTTTAGAGGCAGAAGTCTGAGTTTGGACACTGCATCTGCTACTTATTAATTCTAATCTTAGCTTCCAATATCACTTTTCTTTTTTTTTATTGTTGGGGAGTCACTGAGGGTACAAGAAACCAGGTTATGCTGACTGCATTTGTTAGGTAAAGTCCCTCTTACAATCGTGTCTTGCCCCCAAAAGGTGTGGCACACACCAAGACCTCATCCCTCTCCCTCCTTCCCTCTCTCTGCCAGTATTACTTTTTTTAGATTAATAAAAACATTAAAAGATTAATAAAAACACCTTTTTACAAGTTTATTTTAAAGGTTAACAGAGACGTCGCGTGAATATAAAATTAGTCATTAAGTGCCATCTTCATTATCCTTCTTTTCCAGAGCTCTCTTTTCCTTACACACAGCTCTATTGTGCATACTGTCCTATTATCTGTTCCACTTCCGCTGTCCTCCCCATAATGTGCACTCTGAAGACTACACACCTCATACAACCTGGCCTCTTTGACACTTGAGCCCAGTTCTTCTACACTGGTGTGGATGTGCTGCTGTGTTTCCAGCTGTAACTCCACACTAGGCAGGTCATTGCCCCACTCTGCTCGCTCTAGTTTCATCTGAAAAAGAAAAAATATACATGCGATAATTTATTTGCTGAGTGAGCAGCAAAAGAAAATGGCCAGAATCAACATTTGGACAAGGGGATTACGGGTAGCGAATGGAGCAAATGGATACCTAAACTATCTTCATATATGTCTAGCCTCTTAAAAAGAAAATATGCCATAAGCACCCTCAGTAGCTAGAGAGCAAACTACCAAACATAGCAACAGGGGAGGGTTCTGCTGCTATATTACTGCATAATTTGTTGATCACAGGCTTAGAATGCCTAATTTTACAGTTTAGGCATTTCCCTTCATGGAGTCTCTTCATTTCACAAACTGATATAAGAAAGAAATAATCTGAAAATATTTAGCTCTATTAATGGCATTAACTATTAGCCAATGGCAGGCAATTTTACAAGTTTGACTTGGCACCCATATCACAGCCACATACACCGAGGATGGCAGGTTCAGACCCAGCCCGGGCCAACTAAATAACAACTGTAACAAAAAATAGCCAGGCCTTGTGGCAGGTACCTGTAGTACTAGCTACTTGGGAAGCTGAGGCAAGAGAATCGCTTAAGCTCAGGAGTTTGAGGTTGCTGTGAGCTGTGATGCCATGGCACTCTACCAAGAGCAAAAAAGTGAAAGTCTGTCTCAAAAACAAACAAACAAACAGTTTGATGTGTACATTTTTATCTGTTGGGATGGGGAAATATATTATCTGGGAATAGGAAGAATGAAACAAAAGGGTTAGAAGGATAAGGACAATGTCAAATTTGAACCATGATCCTAGAATACATGTAAATAGTACACCCTGGAATTGTGGAACACAGCAGCCTTGAGACAAACACTAGCACTCTGGGAGGCTGAGGTGGGTGGATATCCGGAGCTCACAAGTTTGAGACCAGTCTGAGCAAGAGTGAGACCCCATCTCTAAAAATAGCCAGGTGTTGTGGCAACCGCCTGTAGTCCCAGCTACTAGGGAGGCTGAGGCAAGAGAATCACTTGAGCCCAAGAGTTTGAGGTTGCTGTGATCTATGATGCCACAATATTTTACCCAGGGTGACAAAATGAGACTCTGTCTCAAAAAAAAAAAAAGAAAGAAAAAGAAAAAAGAATTAAGACAAACAACAAATGAAGAATAAACTCATCTACCAATAAGATAATTTCAGAGAAGGTAACAGATTTATAGACTATAATTTTCCCCACAAGCTCTCACTCAGAGTTCAGTTAGCTGAAAGGAACAGATTCCTAAAGGGCTTCAAATACAAGAGTGTATGCTATTCAGTCTGACCCTATCTATCATCCTTCTGATAAGAGGGCGGGGCTTGCATTCAAGGAACCATCAATAATTAAGGGAATCTGTTCAAGTAACACAGAGCAACCCAGTTCTTTCAGATAAGCTATTAGATGCAGTAAACATTAGTGTACTGCGTAAGCCTTTTGGACATATACTCACCTGCATCTCTTCCACCCAAGACAGTAGTTCATATACAAATCGGAGATTGCCTTCATCTTCAGAAGACGAGATAGATACAAGCTCAGCCTGAGTCATGGGCTTTCGGAACCAAGAGGTAGAAGAAGAATGAGTTGCCTTGGTCAGGGGTTCTGCTTTTAGATGAGTAGTGGTTAAAGTAGAGGGCGGAACAAATTCAAGGGAAGTGAAGTGACCCTTCCGGTACAGATTTGTACACTCTAGACGCAAGGTGACCAGCTCATCCTGCAAACGCATGACCCTGAAATGCAACAAGACAAAAAAAAGAAAAGGACTTAACTCTATAACATGCTTTTAAAAATAGTATCATCCTTATTCATTTGACAAGAATGTGATAAAAGTGAAAATAAGACCATGAAAGTGTTTTGAAAAAGAGAACGTGTTACACTCATATGAACGCAAGGTGATATTACTAACATCTTCTATTTCAGAGTCATCTTTGAGTCAAATGCCAAATTACAGTATTAAATGGAGGAAGCAAACCAGTATCTATTTATAGGGTCCTAGTCTTAGTTCTGTACAAACTAGCCAAGTGACTAGAGACAATCTTCATGACTTCTGTGGGTCTTTCCTCCACTATAAAATGACATCACTGGACCGCCAATGTTTCTAAACCTGATGTGCAATCACACCCCTGCAGGTCGCTTTGAAATACATAGGTATAAGTTGCCACAATAATTAGGAGTATCCTTATAGGTGCTTAGTGGGAAGGGCCTACAATAAGGGGAAACTGTCCTCCACTACAAAAACTTTCCTATCCCAAATACCTGTAATATCCTTATTAAGACACTGACCGTAAGATCCAAGTATAAGATTCAGTGTCTGACTCTTGATTCGTAAGACTCAACAGTAAGCAATTCCTGTTTGAGGCCCTTGTTCCTCACCTAAAAGCCAGCTCTTCTAGTTGGTAGTAATTCTCATCTCGTAGGATCTGGAGATCCACCTGCAGCTGCCTGATGAGACCTTCACACTCCTGAATATACATGATGACATCTGACTCGCATTGCACAGGTTGTCCTGATTCCAGGTGAGCAGCATCCTGTGACAGAAAGAGAAGAAGAGTGAGACTTCCACTCACCAGGATGGAGGGAGCAGAGGGACCTGAAATAATCTTCCCCAAAGGGAAGTGACACAGTCAGTTTCTTCAAACTGACTATTAACCTCGACCATTAGTGCAGAGGCTAAGAAGTAGAAAACATGTGACACAAGAAATGGGAAAAAACAGAGACTTACAGCCTGCAGTGTATTCTTAGCTAGTGTTAGTTTTTCTTCACAGTTCAAAGCACCATTCTGGATTTTGTTTGCAATCTGCAGCAACAATTCCAGCCTAAAATAAGATAAAAACCATAGTCAGGTAAACGGTCCAAAGCAGCCTAGTAAGTAATGTCAGAGCACCTTGAGCAGTGGGGTTCTCAACCTTCCTAATACCGTGGCCCTTTAATACAGTTCCTATGGGTCGTGACCCACAGGTTGAGAACCTCTGACCTTGAGGCTCTGGACCCACCTCTCTACAGCTGGCCGAAGTGATTTCTCTCGCTCCAGCATCTCAATGATGAGCTTTCCCCACTCTTCTTCCACATCATTAGGGTGGTAACCTTGAGGCAACTTAATTCGACCAAATTCAATCCATACCTGAAAGAGATATTTGTTGAGTCCAAATCACACCCATGCCCTTGGGACCAGTTTTCATTTGTTCTTTGTACATCACTTGTTGTATCTCTTTTTCTTTTTTTTTCTTCTTTCTTTTTTATTTTTTAAGAGACAGGGTCTTAAAAGGCTGGAATGCAGTGGCATAATCACAGCTCACTGCAGCATTGAACTCCCAGGCTCAAGTGATCCTCCTGCTTCGGCTTCCTAAGTAGCTAGGGACTGTAGGTGCATACCACCATGCCTGCCTAATTCTTTTTATTCTTTGTAGAGATAGGGTCTTACTATGTTGCCCAGGCTGGTCTCAAACTCCCAGCCTCAAGAGATTCTCCCTCCTTGGCCTCCTAAAATGCTAGGATTACAGACATGAGCCATCATGCCTGGTCCCTTCTTGTTCCTTCACTCAGCCAGTTGACAGTTGTTTTATGGTCTAATATGGAAAACGACTGAATATTTATTTAGCTATGCCTCATCATAAGGTGAGAGGAAAACAAAAATCACCTCCAGGATGCAGGGACCACCTACACTAAATCCTTCCATTCCTTCTACACGTGTATAAATCCTCGTCTCACTAATCCCCGACCTGGCGAAGTTAAATGGCTATCTCTGCAACTTCACATTCTCTAGGAATCAAAATGGAAATGGGAATCTCTTTTCTCTCTGCCCTAGAAAGATTTAGTTTCTGAGAAGCAAGAAAACTCATCCATAAAACTTGAGACTTCTGAATAAGTATTGTATATGTCATTTTTCAGTAAGTCTTTTTAAAAATACAGGGGTTGCTATTGCCCTTTTAAGACCAAAATTGTTAAGACCTACCTGAAAGTAAGGCTATACATAGGTATTTGTCATCCTGAGGGTATTGCTATTAACATAGTTTGGGAAAAGAACACAGAGGATCTGGCTAATCAAGAAACAGGGCAAGGCAAACCAGCAAATCCCAAGCCTCAGTAAAGGATAAGTTTCCTTACCTCTAATAATTTATATAATTCCTCAATTCGTCCTTTTTCTCTCTCCTTGGCCAGAATTTCTGTTTCTTTGAAGTGTATATACTGATTATAAAGTGCCTACAAAATTAATATTTGGTGAATAAATGAATAGATGCAACAACCGGGTCCAATTTTTCATACCATCTCACCCAGAAGGCAGCAGCAGTAAGCTCTGAGTCTTACTCCCGAGAAAGCTTTAAATCCCTGACGTTACCTTTAGTTCAACAGGGTTCTGGGGGAAGGATTTATCTGACATCAGTATGGTATGCTGTTTGATCCAGGGAATGAGGGAGTCCACCCGGCTTTGGTATTCTTGCCACCTGGAGTCCACTTCCTATTGCCAGAAGGTAAACATCACACACCTGATTAGCAACATTCAAAACAAGCACAGAAAAAGCAGCTCAGGCCACTCTAAACCAGGTAAAATCCCTTTCTTCTAATCGCCTACGCAGCTGCTTGGTGAAATGCTCACAGTCCCAATTTCAAAGTTCCTCAAGGGCTCTCAGAATGGGATTCAATTTCCTGACACCTAGAAAGGCTACAAACCAAGCTACTAAAAATATTCAGAAAAGATCCATGATAAACCTAATCAGGCTGTTATTAGTGGCTGAGAAAACACTGCCTCGTTTTGAATTTCAGCTGGGGATAATAGGGACTTTTTTTTTTGCCAGCATTTATCACCAAATGGTCTGTGCTAAATGCTCCAAAATTAGCAATATCTAGATTCATTCCCAGGACCAAGGACAATGTCTATGTATACTAAAGACAATGTGGATTAAGTGTGCTCTGTATAAAATGAATACTTTAGAAACACTGTCTGATCAATGCATTCCACCCAAACAAAGCCAAGTGAGAAGGTATTTTAGGAAAATGTCTTTTACCATAGCACTGATCCCTTCTCCACCCTCAGGGACTTTAGGAAAGGCATCATAAATTGAAGACACATAAGTGATTACAGACTTTTCATCTGGAGATGGCACATCCACATCTGAGAGAAAGTGGACAAGAAATCTTTTAGTCAGAACAAACAAACCTGTGAGAAGAAGGAACAGTGAATACATGACAAACTTACTCAAGTTCAGTAACTCTCACCTTCTGCATCCAGCAACCGGGTGACCCCCAGTCTTTCTGCCACTTCGAAAGCCTGTTCCAGGTTCTCTCGGTTGCTTTGGATTTGCACCCTCTCCATATCCACCAGATCGGGTCTGTAAAAGTCAACCCAGGCACATGAAAGGCCACCATATACACATGGCACATAAGTTTATACAAAGAAAACCTCTCAGCTCGGCACCTGCAGCTCAAGCGGCTAAGGTGCCAGCCACATACTCCAGAGCTCGTGGGTTCAAATCCAGCCCAGGTCTGCCAAAAAACAATGATGGCTACAACCAAAAAATGTCTGGGTATTGTGGTGGGTGCCTGTAGTCCCAGTTACTTGGGAGGCTGAGGCAGAAGAATCACTTGAGCCTAGGTATTGGAGGTTGCTGTGAGTTGTGAGGCCATGACACTCTACCCTGAGGCTCTGTCTCAAAACAAATAAACAGGCTCGGCACCTATAGCTCAAATGGCTAAGGCGCCAGCCACGTACACCTAAGGTGGCGGGTTCGAATCCCCAGCCCGGACCCGCCAAACAACAATGACGGCTGCAACCAAAAAATAGCCAGGCGTTGTGGCGGGCGCCTGTGGTCCCAGCTACTTGGGAGGCGGAGGCAGGAGACTCGCTTGAGCCCAGGAGTTGGAGGTTGCTGTGAGCTGTAATGCCACGGCACTCTACCCAGGGGGACAGCTTGAGGCTCTGTCTCAAAAAATAAATAAATAAATAAACAAACAAACAAACAAACAAACCTCTTAAACATTCCCAGAGCTGAAAAACAGAGTTGGAAAGCAGGAGTTTTAGAAGGGACTAATCTCATTTTCAATTATACACCAGGAGCCTGGTGCCCCCTAATCCTAAACTTACAAAACAGCAGGTTTGTTGCATTTCATGGGAAAGATGTCATAACCTAGTACTGAAAATTGGGGCACAATAGAATCTCTTGAGCCCAAGAGTTTGAGGTTGCTGTGAACTATAAGGCCACAATACTCTACCAAGGGCATCAAAGTGAGACTCAAAAAAAAGAAAAAAAGAAAAGAGAATTGGGGCATGTTTATGAGCAATAGGAACTCAATAATTCTGGGTTTTGTCATTCAAAGTTCCATCTTCCTCACTCCAGCCACCTACTGTTGCTCAAGCCAAGTAAGCCCCCAGTTCAGGCCCCTTGCACTAGCAATTTCCTCACCTGAAACACTTTGACCCTAGAGGCTCACATGGCTCACGCCCTCTTGGCTCTGCTCCAATGTCCTCATCAAACAGGCCGCCTCTGACCACCCTGTCCAAACTACCACAACCCCCTGTCACTCTCTAGCCCTCTGTTGCATTTACTGTGGTAGGGCAGAATGTATTTGGTTACTCCTCATTCTCCCCTCTCAAGGATAAGCTCCACAAGAGCAAAAACTTTTGCTGTTTTGTTCACTGCTCTATGTGCCCAACGCCTGGAAAAGCACAGGTTCAACAAGTATTTCTTTCTCAAATAAATAAATGAATCAGAGCTTTGATTCTTGGTTAAGGGGTAAAACAGCCAGCATGGTGACTGTAACTAAGAGATGAGAAGCAGCTCCTGCAGAACACCACATTCCACTGCATTTACCTGTATCGGTGAATAAGGGCATTGAACATCTTCCCATCACTCCAGCAGGAGGAGAAGTTGGTGCATTTGATTCCTGTGTAACCAGCTGTCACCTTCTGGGTCCAGAGGAGTAGTTTCTCCTTGGCTGACATATCCCCTGATTCCCCACTAATGTAGATGTCAGAGATCTGCCAAAAGATAGGACAAAGAGTAATTTAGTACAAATAAGACAAACTCTTTTAATCTTCTCTTCTCTATACATTATGGCTTTTAGAAAAAGAGGAAGATTCCAGGCCATGGCAGTTTAGATGACAACTCCAACATATGTTCATCTATTTTAGTCATCAAAGAAGTGTAAACTAAAGCCATCAGAGGTTATTTTTCAACTATCAAACTAGAAAGGTTTGTTTTTAATGATACTACTCAGGATTGGAGAAAATATCTAAAATTGGATATTTTCATATACTGCCACTAAAGAGACAGTAAATGGCACAACTTCTCTGCATGTTATCTTTGAGTCAAAATTCTTAAAACCTAAACATAACTTAATAGGGTATCATCAGTGATACATGTATGTACACATAATTTCATAAAAGAAAGTTTATTGAAGCACAATAAATAATGACATAGCAAAAAGTTAGAGTTTAATTAGTTCAGTTAATTGGTTATAAATTACAGCACAACTACAGCAGAATACGATTTTTTATATCACTTAAAAAAGTATGTTTTAGAAAATTTTAATGACATACGAAAATGGTCACTGAATTTTATCTAAAAAAATACAAACAAAATAATACATACAATGATCCTGATTTCATATAAAAGATATATAAAATATATATTTAAGTATACAATCATATTTATGCATATATCTATGTGTTATATATGTGTGTGATACAGATGGATGGGAGTGTAAATATTGGAGAGACATACAGCAAACTAGCAATCATAGTTATCTCCAAGTAGCATTATAACTGATTATTATATTTTCCAAATTTTCTACATCATGTATGTTTTTATAAGAAGAAAAGCTATTTTAAGAAGCCTCCAAAATATAGCACAAGACCTACTTTAGAGAGATGGAAGTGCAAGAGAGGAAAAAAATACATGCCTTTGAATCCACACAGACCTGAGTTTAAATCCTATAAAGTTAGAATAGTATCTGTCACCTTTTCAGGGTTGCTGCAGTAATCAAGATTACACCTTAAAGCCCCTACCCCAAACTCAGGGTTATGCTCAACAGGTAGAGTTCCCTTTCCTTTTCCTTGTATGGATGATGGTCTTCCTCTAAACCTTACTTGTCTAATTCTCACAGCATGAACAGTCTGTATCCTTATTTAATTAAAGGTCATTCTGCCTTACTGGCAATTGTTTCATATATTTAATCATCTCCCCAAGACTGTCTGTTTCCTGAGGGGCTGGCACCATACCTTAACAATCACAACTAAGTATCTACCAAAAAAAGCAGTCCCTATGAGGAAGCCCTCCTCCTCACTATGTGTTCAAGCAGAAGCTGAGAGGCCTTGGAAGAAATAACCTCTAAGTCTGACATGGTCCTTCTGTGTATTGCCCCTTAAGCCCAGTGTTGTACTGGCCATATGGTAAGAACTTAACATGCTTTAATTAGGCCAGGCACAGTGGCTCACGCCTGTAATCCTAGCACTCTGGGAGGCTGAGGCAGGTGGATTGCTTGAGCTCGTGAGTCCAAGAGCAGCTCTGAGCAAGAGGAGAACCCCTCTCAACCAAGGCAAGAGGATCTCTTGAGCCCAAGAGTTGGAGGTCGCTGTGAGTTATGATGACACTACGGCATTCTAGCCAGGGCAACAGTTTGAGACTCTGTCTCCAAAAAAAAAAATGCTTTAGCTAATAATCATTTGGCTTAAAAATGAAATAATAAAAATAAGCAAATAGAAGCATTTGGAGATAAAGCTAGAATCCAGAAATAAGTTACTTTTTTGACAGCAAATACGGTGAATTCAAAGCACTGTGTAAAGTCAAAAAAGTTTAAGACAATGTTACAATGACTGTCTCTCCAAGAATGGATTATGAATAATTTTATTTCCTTTCTGCTTTTCTTTTTTTTCAGACTTTAAATAATGACCACACTCCTTTGAATAAGACATATGTTTACTTCAAAGGAGGCATTTATTAGCAATGAGATCCCAAGCAAATCACTTAGGCTTCTCGCACTCTATTTTCCCCGTATTTTTAACATAAGAGAGTAACTTTCTTATGGGGTCACTACAAGGGTCGCGTAAGTCACCTATGGAACATGTATTTCCTTTCCATAATAATAAAACAGCATAGGCAGCACTACTATTGGTCTGGGCTCTTGCAGCAGAGAAGGCACTGACATGTCAACAGAACAGCCTGTCTCCTTCAGGTGCAGCACTGTGAAAGTAGTAGCCTCCCTGGTTAATACAAGCGGACAATCAATAATAAGTAAAAGTGTCTGAATTTAAAACTCAACTCATAATAGATGAGATTAAATATCAGATTTAAAGTCAGGAACAACAGGGCCAGGAACTTTAAGTAAATAAAAGAAAGCTGCATAAATGTTACTAAGTTTCTGAAGAAACTGTGAGGACAGAAAAGTATGGGAAGGTTGCATGGAGTCTAGACAAGGGAAGAGGGATTGCTGCCTCTGCAACTGAGATGGTAAAATAGTGCCCCACCCAGCAGACTCCAGGGAAGAGGGTTCTCCTGTCTTTGAAGGTACATTTCTACAAGAGAAATCAGGTTGTCACACTGTCAGCTAATAGGACCATTCTCCAAATCTATCCCCCATTCACCACACTCCTCTGTTCTGACTCTATGTTCACCTGACAAACTTCAGACTAAATTATCATTTGCTTCGCATACAGATATTTGAAAGTAACAAATGGACTGAGTGGTTGATTCAAATAATCACATGGCAGTTAAAATTCATTTTATATATTAATTAAGTCACATCAATTTTGAGTCAATTTCTTAAAACTCAATCAACTCCAAGTACACTAGGGGGGAAAAAAAGAGACTTGTGGTGCTACAAAGCCCAGGACCCAGTAATGGGTTATAGTGCCCAAACCACCATCCTGTAAGTCCAGTGTAAACAGCCCCTTCCTAGCACCAATTCTATTTCATGTCCAGCTCCTATCACACTGGTAAATGCCAGGCAGCACTGCCATATCCCAGTGCTTTCACTACAGCTGTTTCACTTATATATTAAGTCAAAACACTGCTGAGAAAAGGAAATAGATTTGCTGAAGTAAAAAGAAAGAGAATGTGATAAGCATAATGAAATCTGAGTATTGGGTTCTTTACCCCAAAATGAAATTCCAGTTAGTTAATTGATATTGTTGTACATCTTCTATCTGCCAATCACAGCATTTCTGTACATTGTACAGAAATAACTTCAATGAACAGCTTTACTTCAGATTTTAAACACAAGGGAACTGTTGGGATCCCTCAGGGAAGGAAAAAAATACCTTGTTTGGATTACGGCCCTTCCTAGAATGTACACTGGATGAGGAAAATGGGATTATCATCACAACCATCTCAGTAATTATATTTGGCTTTTGTCCATCTCCTCTAATACTCACATGTGATGTGTGTGCACAGTACTGTCCCTTGGGCTATGAGGAAGCTTTTACCTTAATCTCCCAAATGCAAAAATCCAGCCTCAGTTTCAGGGAGCTTTCTCCCTCATCTGGATTTTAAGCAGGAAACCATTTGGAGAGAAAGGACAGCCTCAATACCATGCCAGAAAATATGCAAATTCCACCTGAATTTTCTTTCAACTCACGCTTTCCAAGGCTCAGTTAATCCCTTCTCTGAAGCATTCCCAGGAACTCCATGAACACACCATTTATTCTGTTAATATTTTTTGAGCACCCATTATGTTCTAAGAGCTGTGTTTAAGTTTTTGATATCTCAAAATTAAAATACAGTTTCAGGCCTCAAGCTCAAGTAATTCGATCATGGTGACAATTTACTATTCAGAGAGATCAATTTTGCGACAGAGGTAAGTAAGCAACCCAAACTAGCAATCCCAAGGGATTTCTCAGAGATAATAACATCTGTGCTGAGTTTTATTTTTTTTGCAGTTTTTGGCTGGGGCTGGGTTTGAACCCGCCACCTCTGGCATATGGGGTCGGTGCCTTACTCCTTTGAGCCATAGGCGCTGCCCTGTGCTGAGTTTTATTCTAGGGGGTAACAGGGAAACCAAACCAAAACAAAACAAAACAAAAAAGACATGCCATAACTAAAATAAGGTTATCACAAATATTTTCCCACATGACAGTAAACAGATAGAAGTAAATGTAGAGAGAGAACTTTTGTGGTCCTCTTAATGTATAAACTTCTATTTAAAAAAATTTTTTTACAGACAAGTTCTTGCTATGTTGGCCAGGGTACACACCCATAATGATGCAGTGGCAGGGCACACCACGACCTCACTATAACTTCAAGAGATCCTGGGCTCAGCCTCCTGAGTAGCTAGGACCATAGGTACAACACTGGGGCTAGCTGTTAAATGTTCAGAAATTTATTTACACATATATAGTTTAAATTAAGCAGTATATCCAATGCATTAATTCAATACTAATGCTATTTCCGCCTTTACATTCCAAAAAACCATGTTATCCAAATTTCACATGCATCATTTACATCAATGTCTTTTCCATTATAATAAAGGTACTTTTAAAGTGAATTTAAAAAAAAATCTACATTTCTGGGCTGGGCGCAGTGGCTCAATCTGTAATTCTAGCAAGCTGGGAGTCTGAGACAGGTGGATTACTTGAGCTCAAGAATTGGAGACCATATATGTACACCATGGAATACAATGCAGCCATTAAGAAGGATGGAGACTTTATATCCTTCATGTTCACATGGATGGAACTGGAGAATGTTCTTCTGAGCAAAGTATCACAAGAATGGAGGAAAAAGTATCCAATGTACACACCCCTATTATGAAACTAATTTAAACCTTTTTATATGAAAGCATAACCAAATAGCAAAAGAAGAAGAGGAGGGAGGAGGGAGGGGGTTTGGAGGGATTACTTCTGAGGTTTACCTTATAGGGGTACAGGTGAATCTTTCTAAGAGTAGAATGTGAACGTTTTAAAGCAATAACTGAGAAAATGACATGAAGGCTGTGTTGACCAGTTTGATGGAAGTATTTCAGATTGCATGTGAAAACCCCACACTG